AATAAAACAGAGTCAAATTAACACTGCTGCTGGAACCTTGATGTGATAGGGTGGGGACCCCAGGGCTGGGTTTCACATCAGCCCACCCACCTGTCTAGTGCAGTCTGTCCTGTCTCTCCTGCCACAACTTGATGTAATAACTTGATACAATAAGTGGGATGATGCCCATAACTGCCCCAGTGACAGGGGGGCACCATCCATGGCTCCGTACCTCCCCTACACCATGCCTCATGCCTCACAGATGGCATCCAGAATTGCATTTGGCTTGTCCTGAGCCCTCCTCTCTGCAGACTACAGACCCTCAGCCCGTAGGGCTCAGGTGTCCAGAGATGTGCTTGCCTCCCCATCTCCTCTCTAAGTGACCCACCAGATGGTGGGGGATGGGAATAAGGCACCCTTACCTGCCTTTCACCAGGGAGGTAACTGGCCTGGAATTTCTTGGGGACTTCCTCACCACAAGGAGTACCACCAGGCCACTCTTCCCCGGCAGGGTGCAATTTCCAGTCATGACCAGGACCAGGAGCCTCCTGCCATCCCCATAGCTCCTGCCTTTACTTCCAAAGTGTTTCTGAGCAGCCAGTCAGACACACAGGTGTTATCTTTCAGGTTTCCAGCCTGAGCTAAAATGGAGCCTGCTCAGCACTCTCCTCCAATCACAGAGCCCTCACAGGGTCATGTGACCACCTCATCAGAGCTGATCTGTACCTGCTGCCACTCAAAGCCCTTAAAGTGGCAGATGCCAAAGGTGCTCTGCCACACTTGACTTAGGCATTATGGGGAACTTTAACCTTCTGGCTGTGTAGCGTTTTGTAATTAGCATAATCAAACTGTACTTTAGATAAAAAATTCAAGTCTCCTATCTGAGGGTGTTAAAGATTTTTTTAAATATTAATTAAGCATCACAACATGTCTGTTAGATTATGAAATAAATTAACTGATTATCTAAGTGGCTCCAGAACATATTCAAACTTTAGGGGATTCACCGTTTGAAAAAATACCTTATTTTTTTTAAATACAGTTTTTCCTATGTAGTCACTTTTATTGTGAATTGTAAGCCACTTAGGTAACTGGGCTTTGCCTGTATTAGTTAGTCCCACCTAGCATGGGCTAAACTGAAACACAGGGGACTACAGTGATTTCTCCATGGTTATACTAAAAGTTTTGGTAAAAGACAAATAGAGGCAGAAAATGGTAGGGTTTTTAAAGGATAGTTTTAATTCCCCCCCCCCAGAGGAAAGACTTTGATCAACTGAAAATTTTCTCTGGGGAAAAGTGATCAACGTGATCAAAGAAAACATCAAAACTCTGGTTTTTTATTAATAGAACCTAAGACACCATTTTTGACTTGCCCTAATCAGCAAGGAACCGAGTTTTCCATTTGCTGAGGAAAAACATGGATTTTCTCTGCTGAAGGAGAAAAAAACAGATTTTATCCTTTAAAGGAGAAAAATTGAGAAAAAATTGGGTTTCCCTTTGTAGGCTGGCTGAGTTCCAGCCCGCAAGGGGCTGCTTGGGGTTGGGGGAGCAGGACACAGGGAGCAGTAGGGCACCCCGTGCCTGGCATACATGTACATGGCATACATGTACATGGCAGCCAGTCAGGGTGTTGGAGAGCAGGTCCCGCAGCTCCCTTCAAGTACAACTATGGGGGTGGGGGGAGAGGGAAGTTGACACAGGGTGACATGGGGGTGGACAAGGGGGCACAGGTGATACGGCAGAGGGTGGGAGGGTGAGGGCAGTGAAAATGAGCCCCCCCTCCCCACCCCAGATTTCTGTGCCCACAGTGGGATATGGGGCTGCAGCCAGGCTGGACCAGCTCTGGGCAGGAGCCCCCTCTACAGCCAGTGGGTAGGACCTGGCACAGGAGGCAGTGCTGTGTTGCCAGGGTCAGCCAAGGTGAGGCCCACCCTGCCCATCCAGGAGCAGCAGGGAGCACAACTCTATGCTACTGCTACTGACACACCTCACGTTGGCACTTGTGACAGCGCAGCACTTCCTCCCACACCAGGTCCCACTCACTGGGCTGCGGAAGTGGCTCCTACCTGGAGCTGCTCTGGCCAGGCTGCAGCCCCACATCCCATGCCCCGCTGTGGTTGCATAAATCTGGGGGGGCACCTGCCCCTGGGGTGCATCACCTGAGCCCACAACTCCCTTTCCCCACGCAACCACCACCTTCCTCACACACTGTGGGGCTGGGGCCTGGGGGCAGCAGGTAGTGGATTGGGAGTGAGATGCCCTAGCAGAGCTGGGGAGGCTGGAGGTCAGGAGTGAGGAGCACTGGCAGGACCAGGGGGCTGGGGGTCAGAGTGAGGGGCATTGGCAGAGGTGGGAGGGGGGCTGTGGCTTGGGAGTGAGGGGCAGAGGCAGGGCACTGACATATCAGGGCTGCTCAGTGCCACAAAGCAGTGGGTGGGGACAACCACAGCCTGACCCACGTCCTGGTGAGTAAAGGGGACAGGGGGGAGCTCTGATTCGCCATGATAAAAAAATCAAATGCCAAAATATATAGATATTTAGAATTTATTTTGTTATAATGATTGAGGCACTGGTAGACTTCCAAACTACTTTAAAGTTGTAAATATATCAATAAAACATTGTGTTCAACTGATACCTATAACTATAGTGGTGTTTCATTTTAATCACAGAAAAGCACAGGTTTTGAGGTCAGAAAATTTGGGATTTTTCAATGGAGAAAACCAGGATCTCTGCTAATCAGGAATTGAGACCAAGTTCTCCATTTTACCCAATAAACTCCATCATCTACGTGAATTGTTCTCCCTGGTGGCTTTTGCACTTCCTTCCATGAAGGAAGTATTTTAAATGCATTTCTGAAGTCCAGATGTCTTGTTCTTGAAGTGATTGATTTCTCTTGCTTTTGGCAGTGCCAAAGCACTGTCTTTTAATAATTGCAGTTGTCTGCATTAAATACAGCAATTAGTAGATGTAAATGCAAATAGAACACACTGTATCCTGTCTTCTTAAATTACTCTGTCAGGAATATGCACATGCTCATTTGAGATCAGTTACGGCATCATTAACAGAATTTTCTTTTTGTTTTCTCACCTATTCTTTTATCAACATTGACTAATTTCTCCAGCCTTCTGTTCCATGTTGCAGCTAACAAGAAGCTATGGAAATAGGAGATTTTCCAAGACCAAATGTGGGATTTTGTATGTTAAAGTGCCTTGCGAATTTTGACCTGCAAAAATGCTACCCTGATGTTTTGCGTGTCATGTCTGTAGATGCCTTTCTGTTGATTGCATTTGCTCAGTTCAGAATTTGCAACAAGATTCCCATTTATTGTGACTTTCAGCATAACATGCTGAGGCTGTTCTCTGATAATAAAGCTGTGTCCTTTTTGCTTCATATATCATCACTGACAGTAAAGGTACTGAGATGGTGCAATAGTTGGCAATTCTAGCTGATGATGCATGAGGTAGAAGTGCATGCAGCTCTCCCTTCTGCAGTTCTATTGGCTCTGCAGTGCTGAGTTGTACACGTTTTGTTTTTTTTTAAGGTCCAGTGAACCAAGTAGAAAGTGACCCATGTTCACAAGGATAAACTGCCGCAGGCCTTCATGGAAGAAAGCATGGATGGGATGGGATGATGTGATAGCCTGTGATAACAAACTTGAAAGCAGGCAACTGGACTAGATGAAACAAGACATCCTCTCTAGTGTTCCATTCCAATGCATTACAAAAAGCCCAGTTGCTTCCAGCACACTCACAATACTATCTGCACCACCCCACTAACTATCATGGGGAGGGATCAATGTCCTGCTTCCACCCATACCACGTGAGCGAGGTGCACATGGAAGGGAGATTGGGGAACTTCCCCCTTGCTTCCCAAAATAGAGAGAATATCGTCATCTCTTGTCTGTTGTGCAAGATGCATATCGGTATCATGCAAACTTTCCATACAGTCTGCCTACACCTATGCCAGGGCCACTGCTGGTCTGTCCAACATAAAGCAGTTCTTCTGTAAGCGCAAAGTCACCCTATAAAAATGTGTGTATCATTGCTGGTGTCAGTTGTTCAGTAGCACAGTTCCACTGTCATTTGCAGTACATACAACATCTGTATTAATGTGGCATTGTTACATGTTGTAATTTGTGCCAGATTCATTACACCTAAGATGTGTGAAAGATCTTGAAAAGACATAAATGTTAAGAAAGCCCAGCAGCAAATTATAGCCTGACAAAGTCACTTTTTTTTTAAACACAGCAACATTTTAGGGTTTGGATAGCATCCGTGTACAGTACAAGCATAATCTGTGCAGATAATTAATATAGAATGAGGAATTCAGGACACTGAAGATAGCAGAAAGGGGCTGGGAAGGCATCTGAGTTTTGGCTTTTAGTAAAGCCAAATTCAGTACTCTAGCTCAGATTTACGCTCTTCTTTTTTCTTCTTGTTTTAATCCAAACTTTCAGAATCTAAGGTGGATCAGATAAAAGGTTTGGGATTTTTCCCAGCTCTGTAATGAATAAACTGAGGTAGTCTGATTTAAGTATACCTTATTTGACAGAACTGGTCATATGGTATGCTGTTTCACACACAAACTGGATATGCAAATAGCCATGTAGAACTCTGTTTGCCATATGTGTATGTAAATACCTAATTTGCAAGAACCACAGCAATGATGCATGAACATTAATGTACAATTGCATGCACTTTTGACTCTGGATTTCTCTGCCTCCTACAAAATAGGTCATTAAACTGGTAAATGCCATTAGTTAAGCAACCACTTATGTGGACAATTTCTGTCACATAGCAGCAGAGGAAAAATTGTGAATGTGTTGTCATTGTAGCTCCCTAACAACTAGAGAAACGTCTGTAAGCAAGTGTGTTAATGTTGTGTATTTAATGGAAAGGAAAGAGTTGGAAGTATTTTCTGAGATGAAGTGGAAGAAAAATGATACTTTAGCTAAAAGATTAATATCTTGCAAATGGACAGTTAACAAAGCACCCTGACATTCTCCTATATTTTGATGTTTTCAGGAGACCAAAATCAACTGTGTTCGACTGGCGACAAAAGGTATGTGAGTTTCTCTCTCCCTGGTTACCAGCATGATGCCAATAAGGTAAAAGCTACCATGATGACACAACGTAATTGCAGTGACCACTAAAAGCTATGGGCCTTTCTTAAAGCAGGTCTGGACTGGCCAGGCCAAAATCCAGTTTCCACAATCACCTTCTATGGCCTCTGCAAGTATTTAAGGCATTGTTGGAACAGACACCCCCCCCCCCCCCCCTTTTTTGCTTTCTTCTTGTTAACTTATTTCCCTCTGCGAGTATTTGCAGTACATAAGTGAAAGAAGATTTATCATAAAGCTGACTTTTCATGGAATTTGAGCACGTAAAAATCCCAACTTTAAACACAGGGTCCAGCTCCAGAGTTTCTGCTTTCACTGGTATGAGCTCAGAATAGATTCAGTAATAGCTGTGAGCAAATGTCAGGTAGCAGGTGAATTGATAAGAATGCACTGGCAATGTATGATTAAGAATAACACTTCTCATCCCTGAATCCCCACTGCAGGGTAGAGCTCTGAGGAACCTTTCATCCCAGTGTCTGGGTTGCTCTTCAGGTTATGAAACTGCTCATAACTTTACTGATGATGCAATAATCAATTCAAGGGTTAATTTGCAAACAGAAGTGGTAAGAAAGCAATTTATTTGCAACAAAAATAGAAGAGTAGTTTGGAACAGACATAGCACCAAGGAGCTATGAAACACCAGTTGACAGCTACCCAATATGAGAAGATTATCAGATCATCAGATTCTTTGGCATGGGACCGGAGGAGTTAAAATGGTCAGTGTAGTACTTCAGGGATCACAGTGGTTTGGATAAGAAGCAGTTCTGTACAACTGCAAGAATTGCATTGGCCAGAGCCTGGTGCTGGAAACAGCTTGTGTCACCATTGTAACCCAAAGACAATAAGCCATTTCTTCCCTCTTTTCCTTTCTTATGTGGCTCCACTTCTCTGTAATGCCCCCATACCATATCATTGCTTTCCTCTTTGGACGTTCCTCATCAAATCATCATCTTAAGTCCTTTATCTGAGTTGCAAACATTTTGTGCATCTCAACTCTCCCCTCCCTCCACCTGAGTTTACCCAAATCCTGAGTTATATGCCCATTTCAGAAACATTGTTTTAGCTTTCTGCTGGTAGAGAGAGGCTCGGATGAGAAAGATGATAGGTATGGATGAGAGAAGTCTGGGTAAAACTAGAATGTACACAAAATTTTGTCCCAAATGTGACTGAAGGGGGATAGTGGTCTCTTCTCAGGGGTGTAAAATTTGATAACTTAATTTTTCAAAAGCTGTAGGAGTTTTGTTTTGTTTTGTTTTTTCTTTCACCTCTAAATCCTATTTCTAGCACTGGGTGTGGAGATGCACTCTGTCTGTCTCTAGGTCTCTAGAGGGACATTGCTTCTGCTTTACATATAGGCAAATGTCTTGTTTCTTTATATTTTGCTTTTGGGTTTTTTTGCTTTTGCTTTGTCTCTAGTGAAATACATTTTTTTGCATATGTGACATTTTCCTTTTTTTCTGGATAAATTCCTACAATATAATTATGAGCAAATGCTCATAAAGCAGGGTGCAAGTATTAAGATACTTCTGGGGTAACTTTTATGCCAACTTATTTGGTATATAGAATCATAGAAAAGTAGGGTTGGAAAGGACCTCAGGAGGTCATCTAGTCCAACCCCTGCTCAAAGTAGAACCAATATGAAGGTACAGTATTCCGTTTTAATTAGGATGCTTGGGGATCAATTGACCAACATTCTCAGTGAAACAACACAACTTAGTTATATTCTACAAATAGCACTTCTAGAGATGGTAGTAGAAAAAGGGTTTTTTACCCAGGTTGTTGAGGAAAGAGCAAAATGTTCCCTTCCTCTGTTTGGAAATCCCTCTTATTTTAAGATATGCCTATATTACGAGGCTGAGTTTTAATCTCCATTCAAGTCAGCAGAGCCATGCCGTTGTACAACCAGGTGTCAGAGAGCTGAGCCTCATACTTCTAAACATGTTTGGCCTATATTTGCTACTTGCAAATGTGGAGATTTATTTGCACAACTACAATACTGTAACTGTAATCAGGGAGAGGGAAGGGGAATTTACCCTGTTAGGACTGGGTCATCTTACTCTATGTATATATTCCCCATATGTCTTCTATTTATATTGATTCATTATACTTCTATTGATGATATCAGCTTTGCAGGGTAAGACAGAATCAGTGAGGTCCCATCTTGTCTTGATTGATACCATCATCAAAGCTACCAGGTAATATGTGACTGCAGTGTCTTTATTAGCAGAGATGTCAAGAAGCAGAAAGAGCAAAGCTTTCAGATTCTGCACTGGCCTTGCAGCACTGGCAGTTGGAAAGTTCCACTTTTTACTTGCACCATAGATTGAGCGTATCTTGGTTTTGGAGTTGACAAAAAAATAAAGCTCCTTTCTGTCTATTAGTTGCTGCTGTTCATTTATACACATTTGATGCCAGGTTAAGTCTGTCAAATTATTCCTGATTTACATTGGTGAAACTGAGATTCAAATTAAGCTAAATTGAAGTATAGGAAGTATTTTCTCGTGAACTGACATATGATCAGGAGCAGTCAATGTGAAGGTGGGAATAATGAAGTGGTAAGATATGACAGGTAGTGTGTTACTGGGTGATTATAGCACATTGTTGGGTGCTTCTATGAAGCACCCAGCCAAAAGCTGAATATCTTGAATTACTTGAGGAGTTCAACTCGCTATTCCATTGTTACTTTTCCAGCAAGAATGAAGGAAGTTTGCTTTTGAAAGTTCACTTCTCAAACAATTGGAAGAATTACGAAATTCTAGTATTTTTATTATTTTCAAGAAGGGAAATTGAGATGCTTCACAGTATGCTGATTTTACCTTATTCCTTTATGATATCATTTAGTTCTCATGTTATCATGAAAGAAAGTGTTCAGGGCCATTGTTTCTTTTCATTTCAATAAACTCAATTCAGGGATTCTGTACTGAGGAATGGAGTGATCTGGAGCACTGACTACCTACAGAGGGGAACTAGCTTGCAAGTAGAGGAGGTCCAGAATATCACCACTTTACTCACATGCTGCTTTCTTCAGTTTGTTCAGGAGTGCAGTCTGCCAAGATGCTAGTTTCACCTTTTGGGGTGAAACTAGCCATTACACAGATGTCCAGAATAATATCACTGCAACTCTATGTCCTAAATGATTTATGTAGTGCAAAAACTTTATGTTAACTCATCGCATTAGGATTTGCTGTTTCAGAGCACCGGTTCTCATGTTGCCAGTAGCAAATTTTCTAAGGCGCAGTGGGTAGAATTCCATTGTGGAAGGCAGCATTCTTATAGTGCATCTGCCAGTATCCCACCTCATGTTAGCAGCACTGGCCAGGGCAAGAGTTTGCCCTTCAAAATAAGGGGATAGAAATTAGGTTCAGACTGGGAATTGTTCTCAGCCTTTGCACTGATAACACTGAAAGTCCATCAGAAAGGTTTATGCTTTTGTCCAGCCTGCTGTACCCCGTTCATGCTTCAGTAATATGTTTTCACCCCATAAACTAACACTATTAGCCTTATGTATGTATGTATTTGCTTTCACTTTGATCAGTCTCAAATTCCTTTCCATTTCCATCCAATACACATACAGGCTCCTCCTTTTTTTTCCCCATAGCAATTAAAAAAAGAAAAGGAAAATTACTTAACTATTAGTCACCTTGGATGCATATCATTAGCACAGTGCACACTTTAAATCCAAGCTTGTAATTAAACCCCAATTTACCAACACTCTGCCACACCGTATTAATTTATCCAGTTTATTTATTAGTTTTGCCACTTAGTTTCTTTGATGACATTATTTTATTTATTTTAATCTGACCCATTTTTTTCAGCACTAATTTCCTCCCCCCCACTTCCTCAAAACACCATATTTATATTGACACTTTATTAGAGAAAATTGCAACCTTTTGCGAAGATGGAGCAATTACCTCTTGTATTCTCAGAGTACATTAAATTAATTTCAGAACATAATTGAAACCAAGGCAGAGGGCTCATTAATGGTTCCTTATCTCCTGATATTTGATTCCTCTCTCATTTCAGTCTGAGTTCTTGTTAAAAAAACGCAATTTTAATCATTAAATGGTACATTTTTATTTTTATTTTCCTTTATCTTTTCTTGTGCATGCTTCTCGGGAATGGCTTTCCCTGTTCTTATCAGATTAGATAGGCAACAGGTAACCACACAATACCCGCCCAGCCTGTTGAGCACAGGTGATTATCAGTTCAGGGAAAGGAAAGTCATGAAATTTCAAGCAGCTGAACAGCTTTTTGATCTTGGTTCATAATTTTGCCTCTGTGGGAAAGTTATTTCGAAGTTACCTTGAAAGTTTTCTCTTCTATGTTGTTTTTTTGTGCTGATAGTGAATTTAACCCAGAGTAGAGGAGCCAACACAAGGCTCCAGGAAATGTTTTGAGTCTTCCAAAAAGCATTCAAGGAGAGGAAAGGAAGTATATAGATTTCATATTGACCTGCTCCAGGTGATGAATGCCACCTTGAGCATGTGTAGAGATGTTTCTCCTAACAGTGTATTGCAGTGTATTTAAAGTGTCTGTGGCACTTCCTGGAGTTAATGTACATACTTTTTACCTTTGGAGACCTGGGTTCCAATATTGGATATTTGGGAGGAGGGGAGAAAATAAACCTTGATCTTACAGACTGTCTGTGTGTAGAGTAATTGGGAGTTTCACACCAAAGGATTTTCAAAATCAAACCCTTACTGTGCTGTTCTTAAACTAATTCATATCACAAAAAAACATAAAATGAGAAATTTTACCACTCACTTTCAAATAGCTGTGAAGAGCTGTGTTCAGTAAACCCCGCTAATGCTGTCTAATGCTGTCTTTTGGCATGCCCCTAGTTTAATTTTAGAAAAGCTCAAAAACAGAAAAAGAAGCCCCATGATCTTGTGAATACACAACGTCTTCAACTTTACTCAAATGCTGTGTGATGTAATATGTT